TGCAATTCACCCCTGGGGGAGAGGGGCCCACATGTTCTGATTTACCCCCTGGGAGGGAGGGTGGGGGAGGCTGGCCCGCAAGGTGATCTATCCCAGGCGACACAGCGAGGCCCTTGATTCGACCTGAGATACATCTACCAGTCTCCATGCTACAAGTTACCTGTTGATGCCTGTTGCAGGTGAGCTGTGTGTGACTCAGGCTGGCTTCTGTTACACATCTTTCAGCCAGAGGGGCTGGGGGCAGACTGCACACAGCCATGATTCACTGACACCCCAACTGTGCTTTGGTGTCAAATTTTAAAAAAAATTGTGTTGTTTGTAAAATTAAACTGGAATGAGGTTTAAGCTAAAATGACAGATTTTACTATCGCTTGAATCGCAAATCCAAGTTCAGCAAGTCAGACAGAAGGCAAACAGAATGTTGGCCTTTATTTCAGAGGGAAAGGGGTATAAAAGAGGCTTCGCTAAAACCATACAAGGCACTAGTCCGATCTCAGCTGGAATACTGTGAATAGTTTTGAGGCCTTTTTTTGCATTCTTGGGACGTAGGCTTCGTTAGCTGGCCAGCAGTTATTGCTCAGCCAGTACATAACGAAAGATATATTGCCATTGGAAGCAGTCCAGAGAAGGTTCGCTTGGCCGATCCCAGGAAGGCAGTGACTGTCTTATGAGGAGAGGTTGAGTAGATTGGGCCTGTATTCACTGGAGTTTAAAAGTATGAGAGGAGACCTTATTGAAGCATACAAGATTCTCTGGGGACTTGACAGCGGAGATGTGGTTTCCCCTCATGGGAGAGTCTAGGCTCAGAGGGGCATCATCTCTTAGTAATGGGTTACCCATTGAAGACAGAGATGAGGTGGAATTTCTTCGCCGAGGGGAGTGAATCTAAGAATTCTTTACTGCAGAGGGCTTTCGAGGCTGGGTCAATCAGTATATTCAAGGCTGAGAGATTTTTGATCAGTAAGGGAATCAAGACAGGAAATGGAGACTATCAAATCGACCTCAGGTGGAGCAGGGCCAATGGACTGAATGACCTACTTCTACATCATAGCGGAGCCTGACTTTATAGGAAACACCTCAACTGGGTAGATATGGAAGGCTACTTCAGAATGAACTGGTTTGTAATGAATGAGTTGGGAGGGCGCATTCCTCCAATTTGAGAGACTGAACACAGGAAATGGTTGGTGCTAAGGTTCTTCTGTGCTGATCTGAGCCGTTCTCAGTCAAGGGATGGGGCTTAGCAATAGAGTACACTTCAACGGCCAAGGCTCAAGGAGGACAGACGAGGCAGTGACCCTGACTGTCCCCCATTAACCAGCGTTTGACCAGAGAGTTTGGCTTTCAGTGTTTACCATGCTCACATATCCCATCGCCTCTCACCCTTCAAGGTTCAGATCGGGAGGACAAGTGCTTTGGTGTCAGGTGGAGAGAAGATGTCGGCAGAAAAATCTTACCAATGCCAACTGCTCACATTCACTGTCACATTGCAGCTAACCATGGTCAGTGCAGCATGGTGGCTTAGAGGTTAGCACATTATCCCCTGTGTCTATGTGGGCTTCCTCTGTGTGCTCTGGTTTTCTCCCATAGTTCCAAAGATGTGCAGGTTAGGGTGGATTGGCCGTGCTAAATTGTCCCGTAGTGTCCAAGGAAATGTAGGCTAGGTGGATTAGCCATGGGAAATGCAGGGTGGGATGCTCTTTGAGGGGTTGGTGTAGATTTGATGGGCCAAATGGCCTGCTCCCACACTGTAGGGATTCTATGATTCAAATAATATTGGCTCAGCAGTGAAAAGTTGAACAAAGCATCAATTTGAAAGGGTACACCGCAAAAGCTCAAACTCTCAAATAGTACTACTGACAGAAACAAACTAACATGCAAAGGCTCCTTAGTCTGAATGAGCAAATGCCTCGAGTGACTGCCAGCTCTGTCTACACTTTCTAAAGGGACGAAAGATAATGCTACCACAGACCAGGGATTCATTGCTACGCATCAAATCCTAGACCAATTCTGAAAAGATGAACATCAAATTTATTCTAAAGGATGGATGGGACCAAGTCTCTGGCTATACGTTACAAATGACAAAATCCTGTAAAAACAGATGTTTACACATGCACAGGAAAGATACACATGCCCTCATCCAACCAAACCCAAAGCTATTAACAAGCGTGGGATAGGGCTGAATGATATGCAATGAACTGCCCTAAACACACACACACACTTTCAGTTGAAAAGCTTTACACTATCAGGTCCCCTCCACCTCACTGCCCGGACATGGTCAATTGAAAATTCATACAACAGCTTGTCCCTTGCCCTGAATGCTGCTCAAAACACAACCAAAACACAGTCTTTTTTTCTTGCACGCAGTAACTTTGAGTTGACAAGGTGCTCCAATTTGTACCAACAGTCCAATCATTGCATTTATATCAAGAGAAAAGAATATGACTCATTCCAACTTTGCACTCAGGACATAGGATGGGCAGATTCATTCTCTCCACTTTTGATTTTGTCATATGCTGTAGCTCCCACTCTATAAACACTAAGTGTTTGAACTCAAAATCATTAATAAAAATTTCCATTCTTTCATGGGATACGGTTATCACTGACAAGCTCAGCATTTTTCACCCACCCCTTGAACTGAGTGACTTGCTCATCCATTTCTGATGGTAACTTCAGAGTCAGTTACTGAGGGTCTGGAGACACTTGTGAGAACCGCAAACTTTCATCCTTAAAAGCAGATTAGTGAATCAGACAGGTTTCTAAAATATCAGTGATACGGTCACAATCAATTGATTTAAAATTCCTCCAGTTGTCATGGTGGGATTTGAACCTGTGCCCTCAAAGCATTGGCAGGGGCCTCTTGGATTAATAGTCCAATGGTTGGGGGAGGGCACCTTAGCTCAATTGGCTGGTTCATAATGCAGTTACATCAACAATCTGGGTTCAACTCCCACACTGGCTGAGGTTACCATGAAGGACTCTCCTTCTCAACCTCTCCCCTTGCCTGAGGCGTGGTGGCCTTCTGGTTAAACCACCATCAATCTTCTCTTCCTAATGGGAGAAAGCAGTCCTCTGGGACTTTTAGTCGATTGACATTCCCACTGCACTACACCTAGTTGGGAAGGGAGACTGAATCAGTACGTGGGAAACAATGGAGACTGATTTTCTCTTGAGACATCGCAGAACACAAGGGTGTAACTCATACCTGTGGCTGCCACACAAGGAGTTCAATATTTCATTCACTGCCAGGGGAAGAATAAGGTCGTAACACCTTGTGACGAAAGAAAGATCATGAAGAGATGCTGGAAAGCTGAGGCAATCCATGTGTGCTCCCCACAACATTGTGCTGTCTTATCTTGGAGGTGATGGGCTTGTTACACAATCTCCCACTGACACCTAATGTCCCACCACATTCCCCTTCAATCAGACAAAGCCAGAGAGGCTGAGGAGTGACCTTGCATAGCTCAGAGACAGAATCCTGTGGTTTGCCCATATTTTGCAGCTCCTAACAAGGGCACAACATATCCTCATGATCTAGGGTGAGTGTGAGTGGTGTGACAACAGATTTAACAGCCAGTCCGTGACCAACTGCTGATCTTACAATCAATTATCCATCACCCTTCAACGGCACCACTGCCTCAGAGACTGCATTAAAAGGTGGTGTTGGATTTTTAAGGTGGGTTTTTTTTCTGTCTAATATTACCAAACTCTCCTCCCCAACCCCAATTCAATGAAGGGGTGTGATGGGGAGACACTCGTTCTGAACTTGGACGGCAACACAATAGCTTGGATCCTGCTTCTGTCTGCAGAATGTTTAATGGGAACGAAAATCACATGCAATTCAGGCAAAACTGAAAGTAATTAAACTTTTGTTTGTTTTTAAGAAACACTGGCAAGTTCCTTCAAAATTACTGAAAGGAAACAGGATTCATACCTCCACTGTCAAACAGTACAGCATGATCCTGACAGCTCCTCTCTTACCAACAAAGGGAAGGGCCAGTAGTAGGGAAGTATTTCACTGTGCAGCACACTCAGGTGCTTTCATCGAGAACACAAGATCAGTTTGGTCTTCATGATTCCCAAAACCTACCATTACAGGGTGAAAATTATCAAGCCAAAACCTCCCTACAATCTCCATCTTTATCGTTTCGCAAGACATACCATTTCCATTGTTATCAACTGACCAAACATCAAATGAAACATCAATTAGATCAGGAGCACAAACCAATTTCATACACGGTTATCTCATTGACTGACCCGTCCCCACCGGTGCCATACCCCAGTGTTATACAGTGACAGACCTGTCCCCACCTGTACCGTACCCCAGTGTTGTACACTGACAGACCCGTTCCCCACCGGTACCGTACCCCAGTGTTATACAGCGACAGACCCGTCCCCACTGGTGCTGTACCCCATTGTTATATAGCGACAGACCTGTCCCCACTGGTACTGTATCCCAGTGATATACAGCGACAGACCTGTACCCCAGTGTTATACAGAGACATACCTGTCCCCACTGGTACTGTACCCCAGTGTTATACAGCAACAGACCTGTACCCCAGTGTTATACAGAGACAGACGCGTCCCCACTGGTACGGTACCCTGGTGTTATACAGGGAGCCACAGTGAACAAGCGATTAACTGGAAAGTGCCACAACTATCTTTCTGCTGTCAGGGGACATAAGCCTGAGGTGGGTGGGAGGGAGGGAGGAGGCTGTAGGAAATTCGATGCCCTCGAGAATCAGGGTCAGCACATGTGCTCCAGGCTCAACCATATTCATCTCCCCCAGCCCTGCCCCGCAGGAGAGGTTGGTGCCCTGTTGTCATGCCCCTCCCCTTGTACTTCCCCAAAGTGGCCGGGAGACAAGGTATCATTATCATGGTCACTTAAAGAAACAGTCGTTCTGAGAGTGAGAGAGAGACAGAGACAGGTTTAACACTGAGTGTAAGCTCTGTGCAGCTTCTAATAAGTTGTTTTTTTTTTGTTTTAAAGTTCCACACAGTTGCTGGTCAGTCTTTTAATAATGAACAATAAAAAAAACATGCAACACCAACAGGGCCGCTGTGGTTTCACTTGCACACACAGGTAATTGAGACTCTTTGAACCCACTGAGCTCACGGTCCCATCTGTAGCTGGAGTTCCAGTCTCCAGCTGCAGCCCCTCCCACCTGTAACCCCGAAACCTGGCAGAAAGGTCACACATTCGCAGAGCGCACAGGGCTGCACATCAGGCTGTCATAGGCGTCTGCAACTAGCTCAAGGAGAGGTAGGTTAAACGGTGACTCCCAGCTAGTTGGCTCCTCAACATATTCCCATACTGTTGACAGTCGCATACTGTTCCCCCACCTCCTCTGCAAAAGAACAGCATCCAGCCTTTCCTGGAGATGTTGTAGGTCTGCCATACAGATGTATGGCTTTTGGGGGAGACAGGTAGCCTATCCTTCCTTTATTAGGTGTTATTCATTTTCAAAGACAGATCTTGACTTGTGCCCAAGTGGCACAAGCACACAAATTCTGTCCTGCCCACTGGGTGGATTATTCCTGGCTTATCCCAGGAACACAGTCAGTCCTGCAACCGGGGAGGAGGGCAGAGTCTGAAACCTGAGCTGGAGAGTGTTTCAGTTCCTCAGGTGCGGAAATGTAATGCGGGTTAAAGGAAAAAAACAGGTGGTGTGCCAACATTGCATGGATCACTCTCCAAAAAAAACAGGAGGCGAGCACGGGTATCATCTTGCCCATATCAGAGATGGGTAGGAAAGTGGGTCTTGGTGGAACTCTGTTAGCTCCGTAACCTGAACATTAGCAAGAGTTATGTAACCAGACTCTCGAAGCTGCTAGGCATGCAAGCAGGGTCTCGGGGGGCAAGGGGTAGAAACGGAAGAGGAAGCCAGCTCCAAATGGCCAACGGGCACGACCACAGTCTGCTGGCAAAGGCTTTGCTTCAAACCGATTTACCTCCCACTTCCCATCCCCTTTTTCCAGAGTCATGCAGTTGGTCCAGTAACATAAAGGGATTGAGTTATGACAGTGCCATGCCAAGACTGGGTCTCCTACCTCCTTCCCGAGAGGAATGTTCAACTCCTCGGGCTTTGTGGAGGCCTTTGTGTGAAAGAGGCCTCCCCCTCAAGAATCTCTCTACTCCTTAGCTTAAAAGACTTTTTGTTTTTTTTTAAAATCAATTCTACATTATTTTTTTAAACTACATTCGATTATAAACATTCGACAGATTTATAAAGGAATGTCGGGAATTATATGGTAATTTTTTTTTTAAAAAGGTTTTGAGTTTTTTTTTTAAATCTCTACAACCGCTGTACAGAATTGCTGCCCCACCTGTAAACCCACAGCCCCCACACCCACCCCCCCCCCACCCTCTCCCCTACCAATCCCTGACGCGGGAAACTACGCTTCACTGTTCATGAAGCTCTTCTCCTCCAGAGGTTTCTGGATCCAGTTACCATAGTTCATCTGCTCCAGCGCTTTGAAGAAGAGGGTGCGTGCATTCTGGAAGTCTGCAGCTGCTGCCTTGGCGTCAGAGTAGGAGGCCATCGCCAGCAGATCCTGCCGCTCGTTCTTCTTGCAAAGCTGCCGGAAGAGATCGTACAGGTTGATCTTGGAGACCCGGGAGACATCCAGCTGAGGCCTGAGGGGGTGGGAGAGAAGATAATAATAATTAAAAAAAAAAAAATCAACATGCCACGTTGGCTCAGTGGTTCGCACTGCTGCCTCACAGCGCCAGGGACCCGGGTTCGATTCCACCCTCGGGCGAGTTTGCACATTCTGCCCGTGTCTGTGTGGGTTTCCTCCGGGTGCTCTGGTTTCCTCCCACAGTCCAAAGGTTAGGGTGGATTGGCTGTGCTGAATTACCCATAGTGCCCAAGGATGTGCAGGCTAGGTGGGTTGGCCATGGGGAATGCAGAGTTACAGGGATGGGGTGGGTCCGGTTGGGTTAGTGTATACTCGACGGTCCGAATGGCCTGCTTCCATACCATACAGATTTTATGATTCTATGCAGCCCAATTTACAAGCAGTTTGAATGACAGGACCCAATCCCCTGGCCCATCAAGACGGCCCCCACTGGTGGATTTAACTCCGATTGGGTGATCTCGGCCACAGGCTTACTGGGTACAAAGTCTTGTGCCGTTGAGTCAGGGTCTCGAGTGGCCTTTGAGCACACAGCCCAGGATGAAACGTTAATGGCCAGCACTAAAGGAGTAGGCTCTGCATACACAGGTTATGCTTCACAGTTTCTCAGCTGTTCTTTTTTGCAATTCCGGAACCACGGGCCCTGGGTCTCCATTTAGCTGTGAACAGAGCTGCTGAACCCTGGCTGCGCTTGAAAGAATTCCAACGGAAGATGGAACTTATTTTTTAAAAATTCATTCACAGTATGAGGGCATTGCTGGCCAGGCCAGCATTTATTGCCCATCCCCAATTGGCCAGAGGGCAGTTGAGAGTCGACCGCATGGCTACGAGTCTGGAGTCACACGTAGGCCAGACCAGGTAAGGACTGCAGCTTCCTTCCCTAAAGGACATTACTGAACTAGATGGGTTTTATTTCCTGGCAATTGGCAATGGATTCACAGTTATTCCAGATTTTTTTTCTAAATTGAGTTCAAATTCGACCATCTGCCATGTCAGGATTCGAACCTGGGCCCCCAGAATATTATCAGGGTCTCTGGATTAACAGCCCAGTAACACTAGGCCATTGCTTCCTGGTTCCATCCTGCAATGTCACACTGCCTAATGCTTCAATAAAGCCAGAGGCTGTGTGTTTAAATTACCCATCAACTTTCCCTTTGGTTCCGTCCAAAATTTCCACTTCTGTCCCATCCGCCAAGGACCAATTGACACTCGACTCCTTTGTTTTCCCAGTCTGTCGTGTTGAGTCGTAGACACTAACCCGGCCAATCTGCAAGCAAAAAGCGTCCCTTCAATCCGAGGCAGTGGTTATGTGGATAAGAAAGAGCGAGCTAGAGAGCGTGAGACATACACAAACCAACATATCCTATTCCCTGACTCATTCTCTCTGCAATGCCAAGATTTTTCTCTCCTCTGTCCATTTCGAGCTAGTTTAGCGATTCACCAGCCTTTATGGCTCTCCATTCTCCAAAGGAGGTGCACGCTTATTTAAGGGGCTCAGCTCTGCTGAGTGGGAGACCCAGACCAGTGTGTCACATCCTGAGCCGTACGCCTTGGAAGAAGAGTGAGGCATTGATTCCAAAACACACATGGGAAAACTTCCATTTTCAAGCTTACATTTACAATAAGCCACCTTTGTGAATGCAACATTTCAGAGCTGGTAAATGCTGGGGTCCCTGAAGACCTTCAGCCAGTGTATTCAGGGAGGTGTACCACACATCCAAGTCTAGCAGCAACCCAACTTGACCCTGTATCAACCTTTCATCATCATCACTGGATCATCAGGTAAGCTGAATGGCACCGTTCTGCTCCTCTATTGACCCTCTCAACCATCATTTTTGAGATTCAGAGCTTTTCTTTTTACCTGTGGATGATTCAGTACGTAAGGGTAAGGTAGACTCCTTTGAAACTCTTCCCCATCCCGAGACATGCGACAGCAGACCGCTCGAGCTAGGTGCCCGTGGCTGTATAGGTAACCTGCAGGTTGAAGGAGGAAGTAAGTTTACTCAGAGCAGTGTTAAAAGAGACCCACACTAAGGGGAGAGAAAACCCTCAGGTCAACAATCACTCAAACTGTCCCAGGGATATGGCACAAAGAAGCACAGAGTACCTTTCCGTACAGAATGGTGGATTCAGAGACCGTTCACCCTCTTCCCGACATCTATTTTAATACTGCAGTCGTCACCTGCTTCCTCAAAAAAAGACCCACCCTCCACTTAAAACGCCTTGTAGACTGCCGCACCATTTCCAACCACTTGGTTTTGTTATTCGTTTATGTAATGAAGGCAGCTCCACTTAGACAGCCTTTAGTGTCCATTCCTAATTGTCCAGAGAGTAGTCAAGAGTCAGCAACATTGCTTTAAGTCTGGAGACCAAGTAAGGATGGCAGATTTCCTGCCGTAAAGGGCATTTGCGAATCAGATGGCTTTTTACAACAATTGACAGTAGTTGCGTGGTCACCATTAGAATAGCTTATTTTCTCTCCCACCAGAATTTTACTGGGATTCAAATTTCATCAGCTGTCATGCCAGGATTTGAACCCATTCCCCCAGAACATTAGCCTGGGAGCTCTGGATTACTAGTCCAGTGACATGCCCACTACACCATGGCCTCCCAGAATCCATCAGTCTCTTTCAGCACGTCTCCAGGTTTGAATCTCTCCAATCCGAAGTCAGCCACTATCCAAGCGCAGACTCGGTGGCTGTGACCAGTCTGTAATGTCAGTGGGGCCGACCTCAACTCCCAAGTTAGAAAGGACAAGGCCTCCAGATCCAAATCCAGGAATCTGAGCACAGAAATCACGGCTAGTACTTCAGGGCAGTAGGACTTAATGCACTGTCAGAGATGCAGTCACAGGGTTTGTACCATCTTTACTAAACTATAACAATGACAATACACCCAATTTACTGGCACTTTGGAGCACTCCAAGTCACAAACAACACAACAGAATTACTTTCTCACTGGCCTTCTGGATGAAAACATGATTCTCCTCCAACCATCATGGTGGGGTTGCCCTCCTTTAATCCCACTTTTACCCATACAATGGTACACAGAACATCCCCCTCAGCAGCTTCTGGCTTTATCCCTGCACTGTTGTAATTTTTATGCAATTCTGTGTTTGTCTATGCAAACCAGTGGACTCTATTTAAAGTAATGAATTGGGGTGAAGTGTGAAGGAGCTTTGTTAGTGGGTGTGGTAGGTACAACAAAGAAAGTCTTCTTCCTCACATGACTCAACACCGATTCCATACCTAACCGGACCCTAACTCCCATGTTATCACATTTCAGGGAAGAAAGGCCAGCAAGTGAAGCTGGAAGCTCACCGAGGGTAATGGAGCTGAGATAGACAGGGTGGATGAAGTGGGAGAGCAGAGCCCCCTGAAGACCCAGCACATTCCAGCGGAGGATCTTGTCGCTACAGGACATGGTACGGAGTCTCTCCCCATGCTGAATTCCATCCCATGTTGGGACAATATCGCTCGACTCCACTGGGATGGTGCCTTCACCTGCAGATCAGAAAATGTCATTCAAACACACAATAGTCCCATTCACAGTCAAAGCAGGAAGCAAGGTTACAGGGGCCACATTATTCCCTCATTGAGAGATTCACCGGAGATAAAACCAGGCCGTCAGTGCAGCCAGGTAGCTAATTCTCGGGTTGACAGATCCATCGTCCCCCCAGGCTAACCACGCCCTCTTACAGCATCCCTACAAGAACAAGACTGACAGGTCATTCAGTAGCTGACAGAAGTGTAAACAACAACAGCAGTCTCCAGATACTCAAGATCAGGGGGAATGGAGGCTGAATGTAGCTTCTCAAACATCACCCCAGCAAAAACACAAGAATTATAAGTAGGATGAGATGAAGGACATGAGCTCAGCTCTGGGGAATAAATTAGTCAGCAGGATCACAATGTTACATTCTCACATTACAACATAAAACTACATTTGGCTGTGAATTGTGATTGGGCCTTGATAAATGCAAGGCTTTCTTTCCACCTGGGAGACTACAAATCATACCATGATCACATGGTAGAGGGAGGAAGCACTGGATCTAAGGGAGATACTGGAGACTTGTGCTGTGTTTTTAAAGATATAGGGAGCACTAAAACGCAAAACATTCACTGTCATCTTGTTGAGGTTACACCTGTAACTTATCTGAAGTTAATAGATTGGTGCAGACAACTGACCATGAGCAGCGTTCAGCTCTGCTAAACTTGCATCTAGAGATGTAACTGATTTGGAACTTTCACTTTTTTTTGGTACCCAGTGTCACCAACAAGCACACTGGTGTTACATAGCATGGGTTAGATACAGTAATTCTACACTGTCCCCCACCAAACACTCTCAGGATAGGGACAGCACAGGGTTAGATACAGAACAATGCTTCCTCTACATTGTGCCCATCAAATACACCCAGGACAGGGGCAGCACGGGGTTAGATACAGAGTAAAGGTCCCTCTACACTGTCCCCATTAAACACTCCCAAGACATGGACAGCATGAGGTTAGATATGAAGTAAAGGTGACATTTGTCTGATCTAATAGTGCTTTATCCCGAACACTTTACCTGATCTTACCATTTGAACAGCACACATCCACTCTATATTTTCTCTCATTTCAGTCTAGTTTGGAGCTCGGTTTCTAGAGTTTAATGCAGTCCTTATGCCCGGTTAAATGTCACAAACGACTACAGTTGAGTACTTGACTGTTTTAGTTCAATCCATTCAGTCACGTGTTACAGGACTGTCTGTCACTCACCGTTTTCCACCTTGGTGCGCAGTTTGCCTTGCTTCATGTTCTCAAATAGGGGGTGATGTGTGTCGTCCCCTTCTTTAGTGGGGGGTTCACTGCACGACTTATCAAACAGGGCTCCATCACCACACGGTGCAGTACTGGGGAAGGTACAGTTTAAAAAAAAGGTTCAGAACGAGGATCGCCAAGTCTCTCAATCAAATGGTGGAACAGACTCGATGGGCTGAATGGTCTAATTCTGCTCCTATATCTAATGCTGTTATGGAGACATTCATTACCATTGAATAAAACCCATAGCTCAGAAATTAAAACGGACACAGTGCCCCTTTGCTGCTAATAGGTACAGTCCTATCTCTAAAGTTAAATCATTACTTCAGAAGGTCAATTATCCTTCAGATAAGAAATATCTTCAATTCTTTTCTTGCTCTCAGCTTCTGTTAGCCATGGCTCAGTAGGAAGCACACTTTCTCTCCTGTGGCAGGAGGTTGTGTATTCAAGCCCAATGCCAAAGATTTAACCAGAATCTAAATAAAGATCCCTCATGGCAGCAAGACTGATAAGAGAGTGGTTAGGACAGCATACGGGACACTTGCCTTTATCAGCTGTAGATTATAAGAGAAGGAAGGCTATGTGAAGATGTACAGAACTTTGACAGCTGGAGTACTGCGCATAGTTCTGCTCAATGTGACTGAACTGGACAGGATGCAGAGGAGATTCACCAGGATGCTACAAAAACAAAGTTGCTGGAAAAGCTCAGCAGGTCTGGCAGCATCTGTGAAGGAGAAAACAGAGTTAACATTTCGGGTCCAGTGACCCTTCCTCAGAACAGGATGCTGCCTGGGATGGAACATGTTAGCTATGAAGACAGCCTGGAGAAGCTCAGATTGTTTTCTTTAGAGCAGAGAAGGTTGAGAGGGGTCCCTGTCTAAAAGAGAGCAGGGGCATGGCCGGGTCAATAAGAAACAGCTGCCCCCCTTAATTACAGGGTCAATAACAGGGAGGAGGGGGCCTCATTTTACAGTGAAAGCTAGGAGGTTTAGAGGGGATTGGAGGAAAATTCTTTTCACTCAGTGGTGCGGGGTACCTGGAATGTGCTAAAAGGGAGGGTAGTTGAGGCAGGAAACCTCACAACCTTCAAGTAGCTGGATAAGCAGTGGAAATGTGCTAACATTCAAGGCCACAGGCCAGGTGCTGGGAAGTGGGAATAGCATAGATTTAGAATAGTATTTTTGTTGGCACAGACTCGATGAGCAAAAGGGTCTCCTGCATTGTACTGATTCTATGAATCCCCACAACTTAGAAAGAGGGAGTGGTGTACTATTGAAGGTGCCATGCATTGAAATAGACATTAAAACAGGGGCTCTCAGTTGGATGCAAAGGATCCTGTGGCACTAATGGAACAGCAGGGGAGGGAATTCTTTGCTCTGTGTAGGGGCCAATCCTTATTCCTCAAGCAATACCACGGATAGCCTAACCATTATCACATTGCTGTTGATGGGATCTTCCTGTGCACAAATAGACCGCTACAGTTCAGTGGGTGTAAAAGCAACAACATTAGGGTATTCTGAGATCATGAAAGAGACTATAAATAAAGGGAGGTCACTTGGCCCTGTGAACTTGCTCCACCAGCCACAGGAGATCACGGCTAATTGGGTTGGCCTGGACCCCAACATTCCTGATTCTCCCCGCCTCTGCCATTAACGTTCCACTCTGTTGTCTAGGAGAATTCAATCTAACCCAATCTTAGATCTATTCAATGACATAGCCTCACCCTCTCTTCATGAGGAATGTTGCCAACATCAAAAGCCCCCGAATAAAGAAGCTCCCTGTCATTTCCACCTTAATAGGGAAAACCTCTATTTTGAAGGTCCCCAACTCCCATCAAGCCCCCTCAGAATTTATAGGTTTCAATAAGATAAGAGTTATAGAGTCAGACAGCACAGAAACAGATTCTGCGGTCAAATCAGTCCATACCATATCCCTCCAAACCTTTCTTACTTGTGTACTTGTCTAAACACGTCTTTTAAATGTTGTAACTGTACTCACATTCACCACTTCGCCTGGAAATTCATTCCACACACATACCATTCTCTGTCTAAAAAAAAATTGCCCCATCTTCTTTAAATCTTTCTCCTCTCACCTTAAAAATATGTTCCCTACTCTCAAAATCCTCCATCCTAGGGAAAAGACACTTGCTATTCACCTTATCTATACCCCTCATGATTTTATAAACCTCAATAAAGGTCACCTCTCAATCTCCTCCTCCAGTCAAAAATGTCCCAGCCTATCCAGCCTTTCCTTATAACTGAAACCTTATAACTCAGATCACCCCTCAGTGAACTCCAGTGAACATTGGGCCAATCCGCTCGACCCATTCCAGAAAAGATTGTCTTCCTCGTTTTAACTGGAGGTCTTTACGCAAGTGAGCCTTTGAACAGAACAAACGAATCTCTCCCTGTCTGTCATGGTGAACACCACATTAGACAGAAGGGAAGTTTAAACTCACCTGATGTAGAGGTGAAATGTTATTCCTGGCTTAATCTGTAACCTCTTGTCGTGAGCTGGAGTAAAAAGGCTGTCATCTGGAGACGCAGGGTTATACTTCAACAGCTCATTGTACAGGAACCTGCAAACAAAACAGCAAGCTGACGTGATGAGAAAGCACAACGGCGCAAATGTTAAAAAGCACAACAGATCCCTCAGGCTGTAACCTTAACTACAGTACTCTTTACACAGATACTATAGAACCTGTTGTGTATTCCTGCTTTTATTGCAGTACTGAATGATTTGCTTGTCTCCTTTTCTGCCCAAACCTGCAGTGATGTGTTGAAAATTATTCACCTTAATGCTTGAAATATCCTAATGTCTGATTGGTATATGCCCTTCCGTGGTGTCATACCTCTGATGGGGGCACTGTAATATCACCATGTTCAGGGGGATAGAGTGGCCTAATGTACCACTAAAAGGAGTTACCAGCAGCAAGCAGGCAAGAGAAGGCAGCCCTGGCAAGACATCTTGAAACATGGTCATTTGTCAAAGAAATGTCAATCCCTACTGATTGATCTATTGTTGTCATATGTACTGAGATACGTGAAAAGTGTTGTTTTGCACGCTGTACAGGCAGATCGCACCATACAAAGTGCATCAGGGTAGTGGAAGAGAGTAGCGAATACAGTGTTACAGCTGCAGAGAAGGTGCAGAGAGAAAGAGATCAGAATTAACACTTGAGAGGACCATTCAATAGTCTGAAAATAGCGGGAAAGAAGCTGTACTGGGACTGTGAGGCTGAATCTTCTGAATGTCAATAGCTACAGAGGAAATGTGGACTGGAACCCTAAAGGTACACCGTATCTGCAGGGGTTTCTTGTGTCCATGTGGAGATGGAGAAGGGAAAACATTTCTGCAAATCAAAACATGTTTTTTATTAAGGGTGCCGAAAACATGACTGCACACCCTGGGTATAGGATCAGTGGAAAAGTAACGTGTTAAGAGGAGAGAGCATGAAGGTGAAAGAAAACAATAATTTGGACATTTAAGCCTGTACAGACTGCAGGTCTCAAAGGATTAACCAAAAAAACTGAAGTGAGCTGTTAGATAGTAGATCAGCTCATCTTCGTTACAGGGCTTTATTTGGTTGCATTCATTTTTTAAAAAATTAATTCTGTACAGCAGTGGCTTATAACCTGTCTCTGTTACAGTTCACCTTATTAAATCCTGCTCCTGAACAAAGTCCTTACAAAGCTGTCAGAAACAGCCCATTGTGATGCTGCTCCTATCCATGTGGCATAAGCAGTCTGTAAACCATCTGTTCCAGGGAGGTGGTCTGGTCCCTCATATCCACCTCCAAACTCCTCATGAGGCTGCAAATTCATTGGTAGTGTAATATTGGAGGGAAAAATAACCTGAAAACATTGTTTAACATTTCTGTTTCAACTCAGTTAGGGGGCTACTAGACACAACTTTGATAGCTCATGAAGGTGAGTGAAGGTTAACAATGCCACGGATGGAATTTAACGCTGCAGGATCCTGGGTCGGAAGAATTAAAAATAAGAATCTGCAGGAATCTGGACAGCATTGTCCCTGCTGCGATGAGTCCAACGTTAATTACATGCCGTTGGGTTGGGGGCGTGGTGGGTGGGCGGGAGGGAGGTGCGGTGTAGTGGTGTAGAGAAGCGAGTAAAAGAACCAGCCATTGCTGACAGGCAGCGCACATTTCGTGAAGAAGCTCAGTCATGCAGCAAGGAATCTTTTCCTTTGGCCCAGTGTACTTTGCTGAATTATACGTCAGATCCTTGCTTCCTGGCATTATTTCCTAACCACATCACCTCTACCATATCAACAAGGACAGTGACAGCAAGGGCATCACCTGAAGCGGGCAGAATCCCAACAGGCTCTGCCTTTATTGTCACTAAATTAAGTAAGTCAAGTTCATAGGAACATAGAAAACAGAAGCAAGAGTGGGCCATTCAGCCCTTCAACCTGCTCTGCCATTCATTATGATCATGGCTGATCATCCAAGTCAATATATGTTCCTGCTCTCGCTCCTGCTCCCCCCACCTCCCCAGCTAGCCTCAAGTGCTTATCCCACTCCTTGAAATCATACAATGTTTTGGTCTCGACCGATTTCTGTGCTAACAAATTCTGTAGGGTCCTCATTCTCTGGGGGAAGAAAATGCTCCTCTCAATTCTAAATGGTTTACCCCACATCCTTAGACTGTGACTCCCCAACCATCAGGAACATCCTTTTTACATCTCGCCTGTGTAGTCCCGTTAGAATTTTATAGGTTTCTCCGAGATCCCCCATCATTCTTCTGAACTCCAGTGAATATAGTCCTAACTGAATCAACCTCTCCTCTTGTCAGTTCTGCCATCCCAGGAATCAGACTGGTAAACCTTTGTTGCACTCCCTCCATAGCCAGAACAATCTTCCTCAGATAATGAGACCATAACTGCACACAATATTCTCGGTGTCAACTCAGCAAGGCTCTGTACAATTGCAACAAGACGTCCCTGCTCCTATACTTGAATCCTCTCGCTGTGAAGGCCAACATACTGTTTGCCTTCCTTACTCCCTGCTGCACCTGCACACTTACATTCATTACTGAAACAAGGGCACCCAGGCCTCACTGCACATTCCCCTCTACCGATTTATAGCCAATGATCTGCCTTCCTGTTTTTGCTATCAAAATGGATAACTCATATTCATCCACATTACACTGCATCTGCCCACTCATTCAGCTTGTCCAAATTGCACTGGAGTATCTCTGCCTCCTCCTCACAGTTCTCCCTCCCATCCAGCTTTGTCTCATTCACAAATTGATACATTACGTTGAGGTCCCTCATTCAGATCATTAATATGTGGTAAATTAGCAGGGTTCCTAGGACTGATCTCTACGTTATCCCACTAATTCTGCCCACCCTTCAGAAAAAAAATCCATTTATTACTGTCCTTTGTTTCCCATTTGTCAACCATCCTAATTCACTAGCCAATCCCATGCATTTTAATCTTACACACTAAGCTGTTATGTGGGACTTTGTTGAAAGCCTTTTGAAAGTCTAAATAAACCACATTCACTAGTTTCCCTTCATCATCCTCAAAAGGATTAAACAGATTCGGCACGCAAGATTTCCTTTTCGTAAATCCATGTTCTCTGTGTCCAATCATGCCACTGTTTATCTTATTCGCCTTCCTGATCTCACTCTTAAGAATGCCCTTACTTTCTCTATACTGTCCAAGAGATTCATTGGAACGCCGTTGTTTATATTTAATATACGATTCTTTTTTATTCTTGACTAGAACCTCAATATCTTTATTCATCTATTGTGGTTGGCTCTCAACTGCCCTCTGGGCAATAAGGAATGAACAATAAATGCTGCCCTAGCCAGCAAGATCCACAGACAATGAATAAATAAACAAAATTAAAAAGTTACCCATAATTACAGATGTTTCTTTATTGCATGTGAATCTAATTTTCTGTTTAATGCTACTCCCAAGATCACGCCCACAGTATGAGGGTACATATACAACTTCGTTAGTGATTTATGCCCATTGGTCTTTCTCAGCTTTACCACACAGATTTCACATCATCACAGCTAATATCCTTCCTCACTGTTGCATTAATTTAAACAGTAATGCAACTCCACCACCTTTCCCTTTTAGGCAGCAAAGCCAACAAGATTTAAAATAAAAAACACACAGCTCAGGGGAGCGTGCAACACTGCCAACAGGCAACTAAGCCTCTTTTGCCAATGGTTTCTAGTTTTCCAACCAACTGAGTACAGATCTGCAATCAAAAGTGGGGTCTTCACGGTTTGTGTAGCAAAGTATCATGGCAACAAGCCCATTCCCTGCTATGTTAAACCTCTCAGTTCTTCTCCCTGACCCCAGAAACTCCTTTACCTTATGAAGCACCTCCGGGAGATGATTTCTGCGTGACAGTCATTAACGGTTTCCCCTTTAAGACTGAGCTCTTCTCCTTTAACACATCGATTACCTGTAAGGAAGCAGGAGAAAGTGCATCAGCGCAGTCTCAGCAAACCCCAACATCTCCAACAGCAGTTTCTGAAGGTTCTCCCAAAAATCTGTATCAACTGAACTCTGAAGCTGATTAAAATGTATCAGTCATTATGTTTTCTCATCCTGGAGTCAGACAGCAATGGCATCAACTCTGACCATATTAAATAGCCACAACCAGAGTGAGTGTCAAAAACCACCTCCACTCTTAGTAACAGTGACAAATTATTAAACTTTAAGAATCCAAGATAGATGAACTGGAGGCTAGAAAAACACAGCAAGCCAGGCAGCATCTGGAGGAAAGGAGAAGTCAATATTTCAGGTAATATCCTTAAAGAGATAATGTTTTCTATGCATTCTTTAGTGTTTTCTCCTGACATTTCCTAAGGTAAAGTTAAACTGACCTTCCCTTGTTTGACTAAAGCACCATCCTTCATGACTGAACAGGCTATTAGACTATGGAACTTACAATAGCCAAATATGATGCTGTCATCCACACGCGCACACACACTCTTCCAGCAGAAGTCAATAGACAGTAATTAGGAACAGGAACCCTGGCTGATTTCTGCTTGCTCGCTCAAACTCGGGGCTTACTGGACAGTGACCAGGATCGGGAATCCTGGCTGATTTTCCCTGCGTCTCTCTCTATCGCTCTCTCTCAAACACAGGGCTTACTGAACAATGATCAGGATTGGGGACCCTAGTTGATTTCCCTCTCTTACTGTGGTCACAGAGATCAGAACAAACCTTGTTTCTCCCCAGCTTCTCTTTCAAAGTCACATGTCTGGGTCTCTGGATTAACTGTCCAGCGTTAATACCACGAGGCCATTGCCTCCCCTCCCCAAAATGAAAGTGCAGTTCAGAGAAAGATTACAGAAAATAAAAGCCAGAATTAAAAGCCTAAAGGAATAGTTTTGTTTTTTGGTGATTTGCAATTCAATAAATCCTTATTGCTCTGACACAGATAATAATCCAGTCCTCAGCAGGTGTGCACACTGGGACACGTGATGCTGTCAGAGCTTAACAGTGAAAAGCAGTTAAATCCATTTCACATTAAAGAGTTATTTACATTCCACAGATTACAGGAATGATTCGTCGCTTAAAAGCACAAACTTTTTAAAAGAACCTTGGCTGTTTCTGTAGTACAGGCATTCTTGAAGGATTGGCTAGTATTTATATTTGGATTCACTTCATCATTCCCAGCTTTGCTAACAGGATTCCTTGCAATAAATCAATACTAAAACTCAAGGTTTCCTCCTGTACAAGTTAATACCACAAGGCTGAAGAATGGAGGTTATGGAGCAGGTGGCCCATAGCTTTTGCAAGTTGGAAAGCAAAATTTGGCAGTACATAGGATGGGGGGGTGGGGGGGGGGGGGGGGGGGTGGGTGTGTGTGGGTGTGGGGGGGGGGGTACAGTGGAGGAGAAGACAATGGAGGGCACAATCTGCAAGGCGTGTATCTCCAGCAGTCAAAACACTTTGCTTGGCATTTCCCAACTGTACAAGTGCAATATTTAACTTGCTAGAACCTCCAATGTATTTGGTTAGCCACAGTAACTCCAATGTTTTAATCCTGATTCACAAGTGTCACTTTGCATCCTTTATCATCCTGAGGAAGGGGAGACAAACCAAGCGACATTTTTCACATGGGGTCTAACTGTAATTAACTTTCAGAAACCTGCAACTTAACACAGTTTCAGCCTCTCATTTTACTGCTGATGCTTGGGAGACACTGGTCAGCCTGAAACATCTTACAAAGACAAAGTCAGAAGTCACATGACACCAGGTTTATTTGGAATCATACTAGCTTTCACAGCGCAGCCCCTTTGTCGCAGCTGTTGGACTATAAACCTGGTGTCGTGTGACTTCTGACTTTGTCCACCCCAGTCTAACACCAGCACCTCCACATCATCTTACAAATAGGGCAGGGAAAATATAGTCTCACAATAAAAAGGCAATCAAGCAAGGCAGTTAATACTCCAAGGTAGGTTTTCAAAAGAAGCCATGCAACTAATAACACACCCACTCAAATTAATTGCAACTTGAGTCCAGCTCCTAATGGGCAGGGGCCTCTTAGACTTCGGAACATAGAAAATACAAACAGCAGGCGGCCATTCAATCCTTTGAGCCTGCTCTACCATTCAACAGGAGCATCCTACTCCTTGCCCTGTTCCTACTTTCTCCCCATACCCTTTGTTCCCTTTAGCCCCAAGAATTGCGTATAACTCCTTCCTGAAAACACTCAATGGTCTCAACCACTTTCTGTGGCAGAGAATTCACAGGCAATTTTTATACAGCCTGCAGTAATCTTACCAGAAAGTATAGAAGGCAGGCTACTCTTTCCAACCGTATCACTACCAGAGAATGCATGGAGAGGGATATAAAAAAACACTTCCAAGATGGAATCTGAGATGTGCGAATGGATATATTTAGAGGGAGCTTTAATCTGTATTTAACCTGTGTTGTCACGCCTAGGGAGTGTTTAACAAGGACAGTGCAGAGAGCGCATTACAGTCAGTTTAAAAGAGTAGAGGTAGCTTTACCTGTCCTGCAAGAGCTGATGCTTAAAATTGAAAGTAATCCAATATACAGCATCAAAACTCCACACTTCGAACAGCAATTGAAGGGTTATAAAGAACAGTAGATTTACAAGGGATTTTGATCATAAACACAAGAAACGTACATTTAAGGTTTTAGCAAAGATTTGTAGCTCAGGTTGTGGGTGAGGTTGTTGACTTGTTCACCGAGCTGGTTTGTTTTCATTCAGATGTTTCGTCACCATGCTGGGTAACATCATCAGTGAGGCCACCATAATGGACCGGACAGTATAAATTCCAAGCGGATAGAACAATATCACTTCATCGGAGGCCTCACTGATGGTGAAGAAACAGCTGAATGAAAACAAGCCAGCTCAGCAAGCAAGTCAACAACCTCACAAGAAATGTGCATCTTATTTTCCCTCGCAGTTTGCTTAAGATTGATGTTTTGGCTTTTAGTTCTTTTGAAAGAACAATAAAATCTATCTTGCAGCAAGCTAACAGCAGCCTCAACAACCTTCCCAAGAAGGTTCTGTAACAAGTAGACACCAAATGCATGTATAAATATTGCATTAACCTCTAGGATCCATACCTATCAAACCATGTATGCCACAAGCATCCCTAGCAGAAGTTGAATTGCTTTCAGATTTATTTAGTTGCAGATAAGCCTCTTTAAAAAATTACATTAGATACAGCAAATACACAGAACAAACTGAGTGACAAGTTACAGAAGGAATTCAGCCCATCATGACTGTGCTGATCTTACTAGCGCAGTCAAAAACACAGATCTTTATTGCTGTGCTTTTTCTCATATCCCTCTATCTTCCTCCTCTTCAAATACGCATTCAATTTTTCATTACTTCGGTCACTGAAGGTGTGTGGCAGTAATGGTTTCACCCTGGTTTATTAATCCGGTGTGTAAAATATATTGTAAGAGCTAATTGATGGCTTCCTGTAAAACTTGGTACACAAACAATATGATATAGCCCACAGAGAACTGATGGTTTCTTATAAAGGTTATTATCTGGATCATGGGGCTTCCATCAGGGATCTGTTAACATTGGGAAATGGGACAAGCTGCCAGAACAGTTTGCATTCTCTCAGCTGCCAGTCAAAGTTCTCACAATTGGAGCAGAGTTTTCAGAGCAGGTCATTGGATATGGAATGGCCCGAAGCCATTCTGAACTGAGATGGAAGCTGTTAAAAAGATTGTGTTATTCTCCCAGTTGTGTCGTTATGGAGCAGGGAAATTTCTTAAGGAAGAGTTGCGTAATTGTAAGAATGTGCAGTTACAACAGTGTGGCAGGGATACACATTCCACCAAGTGCCCTCTTCACTTGTTAAAAGATACAATGGCCTGTGCCTCTGCCACTGTCTATGATAAAGCACACCATGCTTGAGCAAATCTGTGATAAGAAATCTTTGCACATTTTCCCCTCAGTTTTAATGAGGATTTGAAATTAAAGACACCTTGTCTCTGACCTTACAACCACAGGGAACAGTTTCTCCCTACTTCTTTCAAGACACTTCGTTACTTTAAACATTTCAATTTAATCTCATTTTGCCTGCTCTGCTTTGGTAGAAACAATTTCACTATCACAAGTTTTGTTTTCTCACATCTCTGGCATCAGCCTGGTCAATCTAATCTGTACATTTTGATGGCCCTTTTTCTGGTGTTGAGTTCAAAAGATCCTGTTTTGCATAAATCCATGATCATTTTTGCACCCTTGCACTCTATCATGGCATTTTTAAAGAAGGAGACATTTCAAAAAAGATGGTCATATCTTTTTACCCCTTCCGTGACTTGTTACTACACAGAGTGGTGTGGCGAGGTAACACATTTAGGTACCAGGTATAGTGAGGTCACTTTGGGCTCGGAAGGTGCAAGTCTAGGGTTGGGAGTACGAAGAAAGGGACTACAGAGAACAAATACGCCAATCACTGCAATAGTGAACCTCCGGTTAGCAAGGCCATAAACAAAGCAAACCAAGCATTTGTTTTTATTTCTACAAGCACAGAACTGAAAACTAGGGAGGTTATGCTGAGCCTATACCAAACCTTAGTTAAGAGTGTTTCATATAGTTTTGGATACACAGACACAGGGCAGGGCGAAGAGAAGATTTACAAGGACGATGCCAGGGTTGGAGGGTTTGAGCTACAGGGACAGGTTGAATAGGATGCGGCTGTTTCCCTGACCAGGTGCCGAGAGGTGACCTCAATCCTGTGAGGTTTATAAAATCATGAGGGGCATAAATAGGATGAATAGCCAAGGTCTCTTCCTCAGGGTAGGGGAGTCCAAACCTAGAGGGGCAGAGGTTTAAGGTGAGAGGGGAAAGATTTAAAAGGGACTCGAGGGGTAACTTTTTCACGCAGAGAGTGGTGCGTGTATGGAATGAGCTGCTGGAAGAAGCGGTGGAGGATGGCACAATTACAATATTTAGAGTTATAGAGTCCTACAGCACAGAGACAAGCCCTTTGGCCCAAACTGGTCCCTGCTGACCAAAACGTCCATTCACGCTAGCCCCATTTCCCTGCACTCGGCCCATATCCTTCTAAACCTTTCCTATCCAAATGCCTTTTAAATGTTGTTAATGTACCTGCCTCAACTACTTCTGTTGATCACACTGTTAGTAATTAGGAAAAGTGAAAATGGTATTCAATTCCCCTCACAATAATGAAAACAAAAGTAGAGAGCTTATCCTTCAGTAATACAGGGCAACGAAGAAGCTACATCTGAAGCACAGCATGTGGTTTGGTCTCCTTACTTAGGTAAGGATGTAAATATAATGGAGTGAGCTTAGACTAATACCTGGAACGGCCAGGTTGTCTTATAAGGAGATGGTGGACAGGGTGGGCTTGTATCTACCAGAGTTTACAGAAATAAGCAGCGACCTGGTTGAAACATATAAAAATCCTAAGGGGCTTTGACAGCGTGGATGTGGGGAAAAAAAAAGGGTCTCTCCTTTGGGTGAATCTACAACTAAGGATCACTGTTTAAAACTAAGGGGTCAGTCATTTAAGACAGAAACAAGACACATGTTTACTTGTTGAGGGTAGCAAGTCTTTGGGAGTCCCTCCCCAGAAGACAGTGGGATGCTGTCTCTCTGAATATTCTGAAGACAGAGGTGGATAGACTCTTACTAAGCAAAAGGGGAGGCAAGGTAAATGGAGTATGGGGCATGAGAAGGAATGTAGAGTTGTAGATTGAAGATCAGCCATTATCTTATTAAACAGCAGAGCAGACTGGAGGGGCCAAATGGCTTAATCCTGCTCCTAAATCATATGTTTGCAATCCTGTGGGGAAACTCCACATGGCAGGCCCTCGTGACCGGCAACAACAGGCCCATACTCACCCCAATCCCATGATGCATACCTGTACCCAGGCTGACGGTAGTCCCCAAATCATCATCGCCTTTTTTCATGATGATGGCTGCCAGGATCTTTCGACCCAACAGGCTGTGCTGGATACGTGCAGTCAAATTGTTGAAGCACTGGTGGCTGAGCATGGCAATCCGATCATGCATTGTACCCCCGGACACAGGCAGCTGCATAAACGAGAGAGAGAAAGAGAGAGCGCGCGAGAGAGATGGACAGAGAGCGTGAGTGCAAGAGCGAGCGAGAAAAAGGTAGGAGTAGGAGAGAGAGCGAGAGAAGAGCAAGAGGGAGAGAGCGAGAGAGAGAGAGCGAGAGAGAGAGAGAGAGCGAGAGACAGCGAGAAAGAAAAAAAAATTACTCATGCGGTGGGAGCAGGAGACTGCTGAGACTAAGCACAGCCTGCACACAGCTCATCTCTTCACAGGTAATTTAACCCTCAGTTACATTGTCAGCAAATATTGTTCCTTTCTTGCTTATTGTAATGAAATGTAGCACCATTTCCACTGACATAGCCCATCGCCTCCACAAGGTACCCCTAGTTGCCATGGCAGCAAAGGCAAACTATATTCTGCAAAAACAACTCCACTCAGCAGCCAAACATTTCCCACGTTACAATGTTGAACTCACCCACCCACAGTTTTCTCTCTCTTCAGCTGAGGCTGCTGACTCAGGCCACAGTGCAGTTTTTATTCACCGTTCATTCTCGGGATGGGGGTGTCGCTGGTAAGGCTGGCATTTATTGCTGATGCCTTTGAGGTGCTGGTGACGAGGCATCCTTTTGAACTCTTTGCAACCGGCGCCACGGTGCTCCCAACGTTGATGTCAGTCGGGAATTTTGACCCAAAACATAACAAAAGCAATGGCTCAACACATTTCCAGGTCAGGTTGATGTGTGTAGGGCTTGGGAGGGGAATCTGGAGGTGATGGCATCCCCATTGCATCTGTTGCTCCTACCGTTTCAGGTGGTGGTGATGGGAGGTGGGTGGATGGGTGTCATAGGTTTAGGTGGTGAAAGGAGACTGCCCAGTCAATTCCATCCATGTTATGTTTATGGTTGCAAGACGGCAGCGAGCACCGTAGTACACAATGCTAGCCCTGGGCTTGGTTCTCTCTCTCTCTTACACATGCCTGCGCAGGGGTGTGCAGGATCTGATCAGGAATAGGTAAGCTGCTGAGTTTCTCAGAGGCTGAAAATATTGTCGTTACAGCTACAGCTACACAGTCTGCAACCAGCTACACAATTCTACCCTCAACATCCTGTGTCATAGAGTCACACAGCATAGAAACAGACCCTCTGGTCGTCTAACTAGTCCATTCCGACCAAGTTTCCCAAACTAAACTAGTCTCACTTGCCTCCTTTTGGCCCATATCCCTCTAAACCTTTCCTGTTCATGTACCGGTCCAAATGTCTTTTAAATGGTGTAACAGTACCTACATCTGGCAGCTCATTCCATATACGTGCCACCCTCTGTGAGAAAAGGTTACCCCTCAGGTTCCTTTTAAATTTTTCTTCCTCACTTTAAAAATATGCCCCCAAATTTGAACGCCCCCATCCTTTGCTATTCACCTTACTTACATCCCTCGTGATTTCATAAACCTTTACAAGGTCACCCCTCAACCTCCTATGCTCCAGTGAAAAAAGTCCCAGCCTCTCCTTATAACTTAAACCATCCAATCCCGGCAACACCCTGGTAAATCTTTTCTGAACACTCTCCAATTTAATAACAGAGCAGCGCAGTACTCCATAAGAGGCCTCATCAATGTCCTGTATAACCTCAACACGATGTCCCAACTCCTAAATCAAAGGTTTGAGCAACAAAGGCAAGTGTTCTAAACACCTTCTTAACTACCCTGTCTACCTATGACTCAACTTGCAAAGAACTATGTGTCTGAACCTCTAGGGGTCTTACCTCTGAAGGAAACTCTCCCGTCCGAGCTGCCTTCTCACCCTCACCAATGAGGACACGGAGAGCAGCATCCGCTGCTTCCTGTTTCGCCTGCTTTTTGCTGCTGGAGCTCACCGGAGGGAACCAGCGACCACCAACCTTTGCCTGGTAGGTAAACCTGCATCGATATATAAGTAGGCAAAATAATGACCGTCTTTCTTAAGTCATCACAGAATATTGAGAGTACCATCAAATGATAGCACCTACTTCTCTCCTAGCTTTGTGCTCAAGCACCGTTGCCACAGGCATTTGGCAACTCGCATTTAAGGTTAACACGGTTAATGGAGGCATGAGGATGCTCCCTAATCAAAAGCAGGGAAGTTACGCTGCACTGTACGAAGTGTTGGTTAGGTCACAACTAGAATATGATGTACTTTCTGGAATCCACGTAGGAGAGATGTGATTGCGCTAGAGAAGGTGCAGAGGAGATGTATCAGGATGTTGCCATGGGCTGCAGAGTTTCAGAGAGATTGAATAGACTGGGATTGTTTAACTTGGAGACTGAGGGGGGACATATATAGGGTAGACAGGAAGGAAGGCTACCCCTTGATGAAGTAATTAATCTATACCCACTGGTCATTAAAGGTGAGGGGCAGGAGGTTGAGAGGGGTGTGAGGAAAAACTTTTTCATTCACAGGGCAGAGGAATCTAGAACTCACTGTCTGTAAAACTGGCGAAACAGAACCCTTGTAACGTTTAAGTAATATTTAGACATGCACTTGCAATGCCAAGACATACAAGGCTATGGGCCTAGTGCTGGAAAATGGGATTAGGATAGGGGTTGTTTTTTGACTGGCGCAGACATGATGGGCTGAAGTGCCATCTTCTTTGCTGTAGACCTCTCTGACCCTGTGATTGCACACTCAATCAATCAAAAAACTGAAAAGCTATAACATGCAGGAAAGACTGAGGAGGCTGGGGTCCTTTTCCCCTAGAAAGGAGAAGATTGAGGAATGATCGGACAGAAGACAAAAAGGTTTGACAGGGTGAAGGTAAAGAAGGTATTTGCACCTGTGACTGAAACCAGAATTGGAGTCACAAGTGCAAGGGGATCGCTCATAAATTCAATCATAAGAGTTATACAGCACGGAAACACCCTTCAGTCCAACTCGTTCATGCTGACCAGATATCCTAAATTAATCCAGTCCCATTTACCAGCATGTGGCCCATATCCTTCTCTACCCTTCCTATTCACCTACCCATCCAGATGCCTTTTAAATATTGTAATTGTACCAGCCTCCACCACTTCCTTTGGCAACTCATTCCATACACGCACTACCCTCTGAATGAAAAAGTTGCCCCTAATGTCCCTTTTAAATCTTTCCCCTCTCACCTTAAACCTGAGCCCCTCAAGTTTTGGACTCCCCCACCCCTGGCTATTCACCCTATCTATGTCCCTCACAATTTTATAAACCTCTATAAGGCCACCCCTCAGCCTCCGAAGCTCCAGGGAAAATAGCCCCAGTCTATTCAGTCTCTCCCAAGAGCTCAAGCTCTCCAAACCGGACAATATCCTTGTAAATCTTTTCTGATCCCTTTCAAGTTTCACAACGTCTTTCCTATAGTAGGGAGACCAAAAATTGCACGCAGTATTCCAAAAGTGGTCTAACCAATGTCCTGTACAGCTGCAACACGTCCTCTCAACTCCGAGACACTATGCAATGACCAATAAAGGCAAGCATACCAAATGCCTTTTTCACTCTCCTATCTACCTGCTACTCCATTTTCAACAAACTATGAACGTGCACTCCAAAGTCTCTTTGTTCAGCAACACTCCCCAAGACCATAACATTAAGTGTATAAGTCCTGCCCTGGTTTGCCTTTCCACAATGCAGCACCCCACATTTATCTAAATTAAACTCCATCTGTCATTCCTCAACCCATTGGCCCATCTGATCAACGTCCCATTGTACTCTGAGGTAACCCTCTTCGCTGTCCAGTACCCCCTCCAATTTTGGTGTTATCTGCAAACTTACAAACCGTACCTCCTATGTTCACATTTAAATAATTTATACAAATGACAAAAAACAGTGGATTCAGCACAGATCCTTGTGGCACACTGTTGGTCACAGGCCTCCTGTCTGAAAAGCAACCCTCCGCCACCACCCTCCGCCTTCTACCTTCGACGCAGTTATGTATCCAAACGGCTAGTTCTCCCTCAATTCATGGCGATCTAACCTTGCTAACCAGTCTATCATGAGGAACTTTGTCAAACGCCTTTCTGAAGTCCATATAGATCATGTCCACTGCTCTGCCTTCATCAATCCTCTTCCTTACTTCTTCAAAACACTCAACCAAATTAGTGAGACACAATTTCTTACGCACAAAGCCATGTTGACTATCCCTAATCAGTCCTTGCGTTTCCAAATACATGTAAATCCTGTCCCTCAGGATCCCCTCCAACAACCTGCTCAACAATGTCCTATCCAATAATTGAGGAGTGCTGAGAATGTGGAAGCAGTGGCTGAAGGGAAAGCAGAAATGCAAATAAGAGATAGCTATATAAATGAATGACCGGAAAGGAATGGGAGGTCATTTTAATAGCATCATGAAATGAACTGAGAAGGCAGGCTGCAGAAATTGCAAATGTTTTTTATTTCCCCAAGATCTTTCACACAGAGGACTACTGAGATATAGAACGCACTGCTTGCAAGGTGGATTCAGGTTGGTTATAGGAAGTAAAACTGAGGTGTGGCATTCAACTGATTGCCCTTCAAAGAGCCAGAAAAATCAGCTCCTCCTGTGATTCAGGTTTCTGTGATTCTAACCGACAAAAACTCAAGACAATATGGTAAGAGAAGCAACCTTGGGTATGCCAAACAGCAATTTTAAAAGCGTAGATTCTTTTCGCTGCCAAACCCCCACTACCACACACCTACAAACACCTTAAGGTTAGTCTTAATATGCTGACATGTTAACAGAAATAGTACCAAAATCAGCTTTCGTTTTCAGCCACGCCATGTGGCGTAAGGTATCAAGCAGTTTGGTCATGAGGCTCACTTAGCACATGCACACTATTGGGTTACTAAGCTCTCAGACGTCAGCAATGTGCGATGTTCTTAAATTTATCACCTTAAAATGCTCCCCTCACAAATAAGCAGGCCTGCCATTACTTTACTGCAGGTGTTGTATAGTTTAAAAGCTCTCTCCCGGGCACAATTCAATTTCAGAAGGACAGAATTTACAATTGCTTGGGGTGCTTTTGTTTAAAAACAAGTCTAGTTCATCAAAACACAAATCCCACAGGCTGTGGGTCATTTCATTGAAAACTCAGCGGAGGGCTAACAGTTGCAACTAGTGTAGAAGAGATTTATGAGCATAGTATTGGGGTGGTAAGATTTCAATCATGAAGAAGTGGCTGCAGAAGCTGGGATTGTTATCCTCAGAGCAGAAAAGCTTCCACTGAGGTCTAACAGAGGTGTTAAAAAAAACACATTTGTAGAGTTGTCAGTGGAGAAACCATTTCCATTGCGGGAGGATCAACAAACAGAGGACACAGATTTCAGAGAGTGGGAAAAAAAATCCAAGTTTTGTTGATTTTTTTAAAAATGCAGTGAGTTACTATGATTCGGAGTGCTCTGTAGTCTGCCTGAAAGCAGGTGGGGGTAGCAAATTCAATAGTCACTTTGAAAAAGGGGTAGAACCAACCTGGGATCATGTGGCGGCCCTGACTGGTCTATCATCTTGAGCTCGGCTGCAAATCCCTTTGAGCGCGCGTATTCCAGGAGCCCTCCGATGGGGTTCTTGTTCAGGTAGGTGATCAGCTCTCCCAGGCCAGCTGCATGGGCGGCCTCCAAGTCCATCGATGACAGGGACGGAACGGAACCTTGAGCAACAGAATTCTCCATGTTCATGTCTGAGGGCTACAAGAGAGGGGAAAAAAAAGTTGTTACCAGTGAGATTAATCAGTACAATACAATGGGAAAAAGGTGGGAACCCAAAAGACAAATGGAAAGGTGGGATAAGAATTCCAATGCTCTATGCCTTGAGCATTTCAGTCAAATACATTTTCGTGGGGTTCTCCATTCAAACAAGATGATGGGATCTTGAAAATGTAACTGAATGAATTTGTAGGACCTCAGGTTAACTACAGATTATGTTGGGGTGCAGCTTGATCTCTTAACCTCACCAAGAGGTAGAATTATTACAGACTCAGACAATGCGCAGGCAGCTACATAACACAGAAAGCTGTCCTGCCCAAGTAAAGGGTCCTGTGAAAGGACAAGCCTGCAGGTTGCCCTTCTCCTCAACAGAGGATCAATGCACAGTGCCAACGTGACATATTCTCATACAAGCATTGAAGTAACCACTTTAGAAAGGGGAGCACGGGGAAGAGGAATTTCAGAAAAAGACAGCGTGAGGATTACTGAAGGAGATCACTGGTGATGGCCCTTCAGCAGGTCGAATGCCTGAAGCCTCAAGACTGTTCGACAATCAGTGTGCAACATTGCCGATAGCTTAGTACAGGTATTTCTGCTATAACGCGTGTTTCGTTAACACGAATTGGCTGTAATGCGATTGAATAGTGGATACTATTTGGATAACACAAACTTTCTGCCGTACAGATAGAGTGATTTTCTACAGTGGTTTCTCTATAACGTGATTTTCTATAGTGCGAGGTCACACAAGAACACAACTATCATGTTATAGGAGAACTACCTGTACTACAGCAGCCTTGTGAAATTCTAGAGTGGGAACAGCAAACCGAATACATGGACTTTACACTGGTAACTGGTCATTTCTGTACTCCATGTGTTTCTCTTTGACCCCCTCAGCCCACACCCACACTATAATCATTGGCGGCAGAATAAACAACACTGCAGCCACATGGGTCCACAGCTTACCTTGGAAGGAAAGGGAGGAGAATTTCCCAAGAGATTGACGACAGCAGCCTTTGCTGCTAACATCTTGGCCAGCTTCTTGCTGTTAGCTGTAGCTGTTGGGAAGGTCTCATTCCCCAGTTTAACCATGATGGTGAATCTATAGAGAAGGGGTTAAAAGCAGAATATCATGACTGACTACAGAATGCAGCAAAACAGGTCATACTGTAAACAAATGGCTTATTTTCAAGAGCGTTACAATATACGCCAAGGGATCTATAATCTATAGGATCCCAAATATCCCTTTATGATTTAGTATAAAGAAGTAATTGACTTTTCCTGGAGGTTAGAAGCCACATACCTAATCATTTAAATGTCAGGAGTTAAATTCACATGAGTATGTTAATGGGTATGTGATTAACAACTAGTCTGATGCCACATCAGTTCATCCATCAGCTCCACAGTAAAGTCAGAGTTGTCTCCTTTACAATGAGCTAGAAGGCTGTGGTACAGTCCCTCTTTGGAGGCTCAAACACAAATCCAGGCTGACACTCATGGTGTGGTATTGAGGGAGTGTTGCATGATTGGAGTAGTTGTCTTTTGGATAAGACTTTAACCAGAGGCTCTATCTACCCACAAGCTAATTTTTAAAAAATTTCGTTCATGGGAAACGAGTGTTGCTGGCTGGCCAGCATTTATTGCCCTGTCTAGTTGGCCTCGAGATGGTGGTGGTGAACTGCTGTCTTGAACCATTGCAGTTAACGCTGTAGGTAGGGAATTCCAAGATTTTGACCCATCGTCACTGAAGGAACAGTGAAATATTTCCACGTTAGGATGATAAGCAGCTTGGAGAGGAACTTGCAGGGTGATGTTCCCAAGCATCTGTTGCCCTAATTCTTCAAGATGGAAGTGGATTGGAAGGCGCTGTCTAAGGAGCCTTGATGAATTTCTGCAGTACATCTTGTAGTTGGTACACACTGAGGTGAGTATCGGCGGAAAGAATGAATGTTTGTTGAAGCCAAACAAGTGGCTGCTTTGTGTTGAATGGGTCAAGCTTGAGTGTGTTGGAGCTGGAGCCATCCAGGCAGGTGGGAAATATTCCATTATATTCCTGACTTGTGCCTTGTTGATGGTGGACAAACTTTGGGATGTCAGAAGGGGAGTTACTCACTGCAGGATTCCCAGCCTCTGACGAGCTCTTCTAGCCACTGTATTTATATGGTAAATCCAGTTCAGTTTCTAGACAATGGTAACCCTCAGGATGTTAGTTAGTGGGTGATTCAGCGCTGATTGGATTCTATCTTATTGGAAATGGTCATTGCCTGGCACGAATGTTACTTGTCATTTGTCAGCACAAAGCTGGACATTGTGCAGATCTTGTTACATTGGAACATGGACAGTTTCAGTATCTGAGGAGCAGTGAATGGTCCTGAACATTGTGCAATCATCACCGAATCTTCCCATGAGCGGCAAATTTTTTACACAGAGGTTGGTTCGCATGTGGAATGAACTTCCTGAGGAAGTGGTGAATGTGGGTATAATTACAATGTTTAAAAGACATTTGGATAGATATTTGAATAGGAAGAAAGAAAACAAAGTTGCTGGAAAAGCTCAGCAGGTCTGGCAGCATCTGTGAAGGAGAAAACAGAGTTAACGTTTTGGGTCCGGTGACCCTTCCTCAGAACCTTCCTCAGTTGTGTTTGAATAGGAAGGGTTTGGAGGGACACGGGCTAGGAGCAGGCGGGTGGGGCTAGTTTAGTTTGGAATTATGTTCGACATGGACTAGTTGGACTGAAGGGTCTGTTTCTGTGCTGTATGACTGAGTGCAGCGCTAGCTAGGCAGCATTTATTGCCCATCCCTAATTGCCCAGGGGGCAGTTAAGAGTCAACCACATTGCTGAGAGTCTGGAGTCACATGTAGGTTAGTCCTTCCCTAAAGGACATTGGTAAACCAAATGGAACAAAAACAAAGTTGCTGGAAAAGCTCAGCAGGTCTGGCAGTATCTGTGAAGGAAAAAACAGAGTTAACGTTTCAGGTCTGCTGACCTTTCCTCAGAACTGGTGGTGGTTGGGAAAACGTCAGTTTATATGCAGATAAAAGGGAGGGGGATGGGGTAGGGAGTAAATGATAGGATAGAGTCTACAGAGAGAGAAGAGCATTTGGACAGACAAAGAGTTGCTAATGATCAGGCTGGGAGGGTGAATAGTTGTTAATGGGGACTACTCGTGACTAACAACGGGGGTGTGTAATGGCAGGCTATGTGGTAACAAGGCCTGGTGTGTGGGTAAGGGGGCTGGGACATGGGAGAGTTTAGGCTCCTCTCTCTGTAGACTCTATCCTAGACTCCCGACCCCATCCCCCTCCCTTTTTTCTGTACATAAACTGATGTTTTCCCAGCCACTATCAGTTCTGAAGAAAGGTCACTGGACCCGAAACGTTAACTCTGATTTTTTTCCTTCACAGATGCTGCCAGACCTGCTGAGTTTTCCAGCAACTTGTGTTTTTGTTCCTGATTTACAGCATGCGCAGTTCTTTCGGTTTTTATTTAGTAAACCAGATGGGTTTTTCCAACAATCAACAATGGATTCACAGTCATCATTAGACATTTAATTCCAGATTTTTTTTTATTATTGAATTCAAATTCCACATCTGCCATGACAGGATTTGAACCCAATTCTGCAGTCTCTGGGTCTCTGGATTAACAGTCCAGCGATACCACTAAGCCATCATCTCCCCACGTTTGTGGGAACAAACCAGTTGCCATGTTATTTCAGGTTCCAGTGACTATGCTTCAGAACTACTTCAAATGACTGCAAAGTGCTTTGGAAATGTCCTGAGCTTGCAAAAGGCACTGTAGAAGTCAAGTTCTTGTATTTAAAAGGAAATAAAGGCAGATATACAAGAAGCGCCCTTGCTTCAGTTATTTTTAGTCAATGCCCAGGCAGAGACACTGATCTCTAAGGGGTTGGATAATGGATTGAAAGAAGCTGTCTCATTGTAACAACCAGTCTTAAAGGAGTGGCGAGGACACAGACTTTAAGTACAATAACTATAATCAACCTAGTTTCTGCATGCTATAAAATGGTTCCTTATGCTTTCTAGTATCTAACGATATCCTTGCTTCGATAATTCATCTCAAGGTAAATAAACCCATTCTAGTTTGAGCTAACACCAAATAGAACTCTGGTTTCCAATCTAGAGACATCAGGGAATGCACATTCCAGTGCGCAGATTTGCAACTAAGAAAATAACTCCAGCCTACAGAGAAAGTAACCTTAAGTGATATAACTCATAATTTCCCACACCTAAATTCAACAAGACTAAGGTGACCACTGTGTAGAAATCTCTAGGGACTACATAGGTTATGGTATGTCAGTGTCTGCCTAATTTTTTTTCCCTCAGGATGTAAACACAAATAGCATCCTCAAAATATATGGATTTTACTCTGTATTTAAACCTGCGCTATCCCTGTCCTGGCAGGGTTTAATGGGGACAGTGCAGAGGCAGCCTTACTCTGTATCTAACCCAGTGCTATCCCTGTCATGGGAACGGTCGAATGGGAAGGTTATGTTGGGACTTGTATAAGACACTAGTTCACTCTCGGCTGGAGTGTTGTGCCCAGTTGTAGGCATCACATCCTAGTGTGATGTGAAGGCAATGAAGAGAGTGCACAAGAATGATTCATTTCAATGAATCAAGAATGAAACATTTACAAGAATGATCCAGGATCATTACAAAAACAGATTGGAGAATTTCCTTGGAGAAATTGTGTCTGTGAGGTAATGTGACAATGGTATTCAAACCATGAGGGATCTGGTCATAGCAGATTGGGCAGTACTGCTCAAACTCAAACAGCACTTCCCACCCAAGGAACCTGGGTGAAAATTTCGGGGTTCCAAACATTGTTGAATGTAGTTAGGAGTAGTTTTCAGTTATGGAGCATGCCTTGATCAATCACCACCTCACCTCATGCTGCTAGCTTCCCTTCCTTCACCCCTACCATCCTCCCATTGTCCTTGTAAGACAGTTGGTGAAAAGGCAGAGTGAACACCTACCCTTAAGTACAATCTCTTGCACAAGGTTCAAGGTTTGGCCAGCAGTCAGTCAATTAGGTTACGGTCTCCAGTAGAAAAAGTGCTGAGTTTTGTTAAAGGGGCCACACAGCTGTTTGGGAAGCAGTCCAAGTTCCACAGCAGTCATTGCTGGTTTGTGAAGCTTGTGACCCAAAATCTTGACTCCTGACCCTTCCTGGGGGTCATGACCCACAGTTTGGGAAGCCCTGGAGATAGGGAGAAATTGTTCCCACTTGTGAAAGCGCTTTCATACAGCGAGTGGTTAGGAGTTTGGAACAGTGAGGCAGTGGGGTGGGATGGTGATCTTATAGAAACCTCTAAAATTCTAACAGAACAAGACAGGTTAAAGACAGGAATGATGCTCCCGATGACTGGGGAGTCCAAAGCCAGGGACTGCCACAGTCTAAGGATACATGAGAAGAAAATTCTTCACCCAGAGCCTGTGCAATTCAAAAACAGTTGTGGCCAAAATATTGACTCTTTTTGAGGAGATATAGTTCTTAGGCTAAAGGGTATGAGGAGGAAGCAGAAACACGGTACTGAGTTGAATAATCAGGAATGATCATATTGAACTGTGGAGCAGGCTCAAGGGCTGAACAGCCGACTCCTGCTCCAATTTTCGATGTTTCTATGTTTAGTCTTGGAATTACCAACAAGTCCAAAAATATAACCACACCTTGCTATTCACATCTTACACTTAAAAGGCTATATAGCCTGAAATTGGCAAAGTTCCATTTATCAGCATTTCAAACCCCCAGAAAATAAAACAAGCAGAATTTTCTTTTTTAAAAAAAACCGTCTTCCTTAGAAGATATTTCTGGAGCTTGGAGCCACGTTTCTGAAGTCACATACCTAGGGTCATGGGGAGGACCACTCTGTGATACCAGTTGAAATTCACATGCATTGCCTGACTTCTGTGCATATTCCATTAACATGCAGACTGGATTTTTCCCTACAGGCAGCGTGGGTTGAGACCCGGTACATGGTTCAGTCTTAATTTCACTTGGAAGAGCTGTACACTGGGAAGGGGGTGGGGAGGAGAGATACAATAACAGGTTTATATTTCAGAGACATACAATCATAGATTTATAGAACACAGGGCACAGCAAGAGGCTATTTGGCTCAGATGCTGTGTGTGCGCCAGTCCACACAGTCTCGTCCCAGCCCATCTTATTTTATCCTGACAACATGTCCATCTCAGACTTAATCCAGCATTGAAGATCCCAACATCCCATTAATCCTGATATGCAAATTCCTTTCATGCAGACCTACAGAAAAAGCAGAGAAGCTCCCCTTTTCTCTCAGCAGAGGTGTCCATTGACTGCTTGCTGGTGGGACATTTGACAAGCGATTCAGAAATACTAATCACGACACAAATCTTCACTCAAATGGAGGTAAGAGGTCGCCAGGTTATCATCGTTGAAGAAGTAAAGCAGTCTGCACGTTTCACACCATCAGCAAAGAGAATCACCACAATCCTCAGTAGCACAGCAATCAAAGCCTGCCAGCTTGCTTTTGATTGCCCGAGATGCCAGTCCTGCCCACTGACAAAGGTTTAAAAAGATGAGACAGGTTGGAACAGAAACAGTTGCTTTAATACAACAGACATGGTTTACTGATTCTTGGGCAGCATAAACGTGCAGGTGACCTGATTGAAATCTACAAAACAATGAAAGGGGTTGGTTAATGTCCCTGTTGATGGATTACTCCAGTTTAACAGACGGGCAAGGATCACGGAACACAGGTGCAAAATGTGGAAGAGGAGGTAAGACCGGATGTTAGGTGATTAACCATTTCTCAAACACTAATTGCCTGGAGTACACTGCTGCCTGGTGCAATGAATGCTGGTACTCTGCTCACTTTGAAGAGGGAGCTGGACCAGTCCCTGACTGCAGAGCACAGAAAGCAGGTGTGGTGACCTGGACTTGCTTCCATCCTCCGAGGCATATTTTCCCCAAACGATTACACATTTGAGAGTGTTGCTGTAAGGTGGAAAGATGGCAGGAAGCAGTGTTTAGCCAGCGAAGAGCCAGCCACCATGAGTGATGGACCAGCTGGCCTTTTTCTGCCTGTCAATTACTTACATGACAAGCGTTCAAAAAACTAATGACATTTTATTACAGCATAATAAGTGGACATGGTTGAAAGATGGTCTCCCCTCTGGAGATGGTTCAAGATGTCAGAGGACCACTCATATTGGATTAAATACAGTAATTCCACAAATCAGCCAAATGCAGTGGTTTCCAGGACAATCACCTTCAAGGAACAGGAGATTGAAATTAAAAATTAATTAAAATTTAACAAAAAATCCCCTGTTGGTTCCTGGAGTCTAACTCACTGCAACAGAGGTTTGTGCCAAAGCCTTTCTGAAATCAGTGTTTATGGACTACAAAAGGGTGGGGCGTACACCAAAGCCCAATCTATACCAACCTCCCTTGTGATCGGAGGCTCGGGATGGGGAGAGGATGGAGGAATCTCTATGTCTTCGCCCAGAATCTCTTTCAGCAGCACTTTCAGGGCATTGGTTGCTGCATCCTTCTTGGCTGTCTTTTTGCTGTTAGCTTCAGCTGGAGGGAATCTCCGGCCATCTATAGCAGCTTGCATTCTGAACCTTTAATCACAAGGGAAAGAGGAGGTCGTCAGTTAAAGCAGCATGACTTTTATACAGTGCTTCGCCAAACTTCCAGGCATTACGATGGACAGTCGGTATCATTGAGTCATACAGCACAGAAATGGACCCTTCCATTCAACCAGTCCATGCTGACCATAATCTTAAACTAAACTAGTCCCGCCTACCTGCGCTTGGCCCATATCTCTTCAAACATTTCTTATTCATGTACATATCTAAACATCTTTTAAATGGTGTAAATGTACCCACATCCAACACTTCCTCTAGAGGTTCATTCTACACACGAACCACTCTCGGTGTATTAAAAAAAAAGGCCCCTCATGTCTTTTTTTAAAATCTTTCTCCTCCCACCCTAAAAATATACCCCCTACCCTTGAAATCCCCCATCCTAGGGAAATTATATCTGCCATTCACCTTATCTATTCCCCTCATGATTTTATAAACTTATGTAAGTTGACCCCTCAACCTCCTACATTCCAGTGAAAAAATTCCCGGCATATCCTGCCACTGCCCGTAACTCAAACCCTCCAGACTCAGCAACATCCCGGTAAATCTCTTCTGGACACTCTCGATCTTAATAATATCATTTCTATAACAGGGAGACCAGAACTGGACACACTACTCCAGAAGAGGCCTCACCAACATCCTGTACAACCTCAACATAATGACCCAATTCCTGTAGTCAAAAGGTATAGAGCAATGAAGTCTTTTCCCCCAGGGTAGAAATGTCCATTGCAATGGGACATAGGTTGAAGGTAAAAGGGGGTAAATTTAAAGGAGATATGAGGCAAATGTTTTTACACAGAGGGTGAGAAGTGCCTGAAATGTGCTGCCAGAGGTGGTGTTGGAGGCGGATACAACAGCAACACTTAACAGGCATCTTGACAGATATAATAATAGGCAGGGACTACAGGAATACAGACTGGGTATAGGTAAAACATTTTTAGTTTAGAAAGGCATGTGTCAGTGCAGTCTTTGTGGCCAGAGGTCCTGTTCCTGTGCTGAACTGTTCTTTATTCTATTCTTTGCATTCCAAAGAGCCCACAGTCAATTCAAGTACTTAATTGTTATAATGGCACTGTCTTAATGCAGTATGGGATAGTGTGTTCAGTCTTACAGGTCAGAGACAATCAGAAAGCTAGAACATGCACTCTACTATAACTATCACCAGATGCAGTAAAGAAAGCCCTTGCCCAATAAAACACCACATTCATCACCAACCCCAAACTCAGAGAAAGTGCCAATACTGGAAACTGAAAATAAGCCTGAGGCTTCTCAATGTCGATTTTAGAAGGATGGTGATAAACAGTAGCTCCCTTACTGAACTGTATTTCATTGTGCGGTCTGACGCTTGGTTCCAATGAATCCTAGTTTAAACCTGGACCCTCAGAAGGTTTCCCAGTGACTGAAGACCTCACTGGCTCTGAAATAAAAACAGAACGTGCTGGAGACACCCAGCAGATTGGGCAGCATCTACGTAGGGTGGCAGTGGGGGAAGAGATAGACAGAGCAAGAGTGCAAGAGCGAGAGAGCTCAAAGTTAACATTCTAGTCCCAGAGAACAGTCACACTGGACTCGAGATGTTGACTGTTTCTCTCTCCATCGATGCTACCAGATCTGCTAGGTTTCTCCTGCACTTTGTCTTTATCCCAGCACTTGCAGCACTTGGCTGTTACCTTACTGGTTCTGATCTGACCTGGATGCTAACCCCAAATGCCACTTAACTTTCTAAGATCTTCATGCTGTGACTCCCAGATGTTGGATGGGGATGAGGTCTGACAAGACATCAGCCCTGGTAGTTATTGCTGCAAAGTTGGGTATAGGATTTGAGGATTGGAAGGCAGGACTTTAGAATTTGTTTGTAAAATGATAGGAGGAAGAGTGCATGGTCGCTTTAAAAGATGAGGTGTTTTTATGCCTTGGAGATTTAAAAAAATGTCTGCAGGCAGCAGCAGGTGCACAGAGTTCTTGAAATTGAAACACTATCAAAAGGCTATACTGTTAGCAGGCAAAGCAGGATTGGTCGGTGCAACAGAGGGCTGAAGGGCCTGTACTGCGCTGTAATGTTCTATGTTCTATCTACAACAGGTTTTAGAATTTAGCCAATTAATTTAAACCAGGCCCTAGAAATCAAAACCCAATTAAATTTAAATCTGGTTCTAGGTTGTCAAAAACATTAATCCTATTGTAAAAAATTAATAGGTCATCAAGAGTATAACAAAAGCAGGACATTTAAAAATTGGTGAGAGTGCAAACTGCCATCTGAAGAGAAACTCATTGGTTCTCACAGAAATCTCTGAGCTCTCAGAGTAAGCACCTCCTAAATAAAGGTTCTACAGCACTCTTAGCTAACATTCCTGACACAAGAATTCAATGGAAGAAGGCGTTCCTGACCGGAGAAGGCAAACAACACTCTGGTAGCCTTATCCTGGCTGTAATTTCAAGAGATTAAGTTTTAATTTAATTTTTATTTAATTTGGTTTACGTAAGTGGGACTTGTATTTAGTGGAACAGCATACCATTAGAATTTTGTTTTATTCGGGAATAGTTAATAGTTAAAGGGGAATTGTTTGGTTTGTTAGTAGTTCTGCTAATTTGTTTACTGTTAGAGTTTAATAAATAAAATGTTACTTGTTGAATATAAAGTGAGTATCAGGATTTCTTTCATTTAACTATTCCTTTATACCA